GATTGCGCAAGGGGTGAGTTGGGGGCGGCTGCGCACTCTGGGGGCCTCTGGGAGATCTGAAAACTCCAAGCGGTCGTGGGGAATTCAAGCAACCACGCGCGCTCTAGTACCTAAGGCACGCATGCGGGTGCGCTGTGACGCCGGGTGCGCATTACCGCTGTCGCATAGTGCACCTTTGCTTCACATAATGCAACGTGCCAACCGCCCGCCAATCGAATCCCGCCCGCAGCTGCCGCCGCCCGCAAACGCAACGGGCCCCGCCGCGGTACGCCTGCTGCTGTCGCGGATGTCGGAGATCGAACAAGCACACCGCCTTCAGCAACAGCAGCAGCAGCAGGAGCAGCAGCAGCAGCACCACCACCACAAGCAAAAGGGCGGCCCCGGCGGGCTCCGCGCTGCGCGTGCGGCCCCGCAGCCTCGCAGCGGCCTCACGTCCCACAACGGCTCCATCCGGCGCAGCAGCAGCAGCGGCGCGCCGGGGGCGGCGTCGGGCATTGGCAGCCGGGCGGGCAGCCCGGACATCGGCGCGGCCATGGCGTATGGCGGCGGCGAGGGGGCGCGCTCCTCCAAGCTGCAGTGGACAGAGGCTAGCAGCTGCCGCATGAGTAGCAGGGCCGGTGCCGCCGCGCACGCCGGAGCCGCGAGCAGGGGGTTTGGCGCCGCGGCCGCCGCGGCCGCGGCGGCGGTCGCGGACGCGGACGCTTTGGAAGCATGCGAGCGGGGCGGGCCGGGCGAGGCGGCTGGCGAGGCGGCGAGCAGCCTGCCGCATGCAGCCAGCCGCGGCGGGCGGGAGCAGTCCTTGTTTGCCTCGTTTTCCAGGGATCCAGCCGAGGGGAAGCTGGTAGTTGCCAACACTGTCGACAGTGAGAAGCAGGATTCGGGGCCGCCCAAGCGGGGGCGGCAGCACACAGAGGCGTCCCTGCCGACGCAGGCCGCAACAGACGGTATGGGGGCTGCTGCTGCACAAGGCATCCCTGCCAAACCTCACCAACCGCAGCAGCAGGAGCAGCAGCAGCAGCAGCAGCAGCAGCAGCCTGTGCTGAGTTCATCCCCATTGCCACAGCAGCAGCAGCAGCAACCGCAGCAGCAGGAGCAGCAGCAGCATCCGTCAACAAAGCAGCAGCGGCAGCAGCAGCAGCAGCAGCAGCAGCAGCAGCAGCCCGCGCGCCAGCCGGAAGCCGGCGACACAAAGGCCAGCGGGCACCAGGCGGGGCGCGCCGCAGCAGACACTCACAGCCCCGGGCAGCACCATGCTGAGGGCCAAGGTGAAATGGGGCCGCCCGCCAGCCTGAGAGCAGCTGTGCAGGGCGCCGCGTTGGATGTGGCACAGGAGCACAGACCGGATCCCCCACCAGCCGCCTGGCCGCGCCTCGCCCAGCCCGAGGCAACGACGCTGCAGGAACCACAGGGTGGCGTCCGCCCCGCGCTGCCAGTGCCAGCCCTGCAGCTTGTGGCGGCTGCGGCTGCTGCGCGCAGCGGCGGCAGCAGCGGCGGCGGCGCTGGCAGTGGCGGCGGCGGCGGCGGCGGAAGGGACGAGGGTTTTGACCTGCTGGTGCAGGCGGCCAAGTTTCTGGACGACGGCGGGTCCACTGCCGCGGCGCTTTCTGCGCGGGGACCGACCCCCAGGCGGCCGCCAACCGGCGAGCCGCGGCCGCCGCAGCCGCACGCGACTGCAGGCGCCCTGCCGGCGGCGGCGACGCAGGGCGCCCGATCAGCGCCCGCAATCGCCAAAGGCACAGCCCAGGCTGCGGAGCCATTTGTTAGCGAGCGGCCGCCACAGCACCTCACGACGCCCAGTGGGGGCGCGCCTGCTGAGGCAGCTGCTGGGCAGCTGCCTTTGCCCCCCGCCAGGAGCAGCTGGGACGCATCTCTTCTGCCCGCAATGCTGCGGGCACTCACCACGACCCCGCCTCCACCGCCGCCGCCGCCTTCCGCGGCTGCGGGGGCCTCGGCTGGCGGCGACGGTATGGGTGGCGACGGGCCCGCGTGCGGGGCGGTGGCGAGGCCGCAGACGCGGGCGCGGTTCCAGAGAATCATGAACCAGACCGCGACGGCAATAGCACTGGTGCAGCAGGCGCAGCAGCAGGCGCAGGCGCATGCAGCGTCCGTAAACGGGCAGGCCGCGGCGGCCCCGCAGCCGTAGGCTGGCGGCCGCGGGGCACTCTGAAGGTTGCCAGAAGAACACAATGTGAATTGCGATTGTCACGTGCATCCGTACTGCTTAATCATCCAATGACACGTTTAGTGATGACATGACCTTCATGTACGGCTTTTGCGTAATCTTCATCCTCACAAAAACTGGAAATCCAGCTGGGCAGGATCAGCTGCACAGCTGTTCGCTCGTGTTGGGATCTCCGCGTCAAACGTCGCAGGCCGGAAAAACAAGCCAGCAAGCTGCGTCTGCATGGGCCCGCAGGCACTGCTGCTGAGTGCTCAGAGACTCCGGGTGACGGCAGGATAGTCGGAGGGGCGCTCGGGATTGCTTGGGTGCGAGGGCCTAGTGGCTTGGGGCAGGGGCCCTGCGACAACCATATTAGCAGTTTGTGGTCGCCGTGGGTCACGCTTGACTCCGCTGGCGACGGTCGCATGCGCACTCCCACACGCAACCCTTTCCAATCAAGTTGTACTTGGGAAGCCACATCCGGCGCCAGCAGCCGCCGTCGATCGGTGCTTGCCCGCCTGCCCTTTCTCCTGTGGCCCCGCAGGTGCAGCGCTTCGCCGTCTTTGGCCCAAGCCGCACAGCTCAACGTCGAAGCGCCATGGGGAAGAGACGCCGGGCTGCGCCTTGACTCCTCTACCACAACCTGCTGCCCCTGGCTGCTATAATAGAACTTCAATGCAGCCACTGGTAATCTCACACGACTCAGATGGTAAATAACCCGTGGTTGCCCTTGGCAGCTCCGCTGGCGCTGATTGGAGTGGTACCGCAGTCAACGGACGGTGACGTCGGTCACCTTCTGCTCACAGCCATTGGATTCAGCGCTGATATACAAGATAGCTGCAAGTTTGTGCGTTTTATATAACAGGCCCACAAGCCGCGTGCTGCTACGCGAGATCCGGAGATCAGCGTCCGTTGAAGCAAACGCAATGGCGCTGTCAATGGGTTCAAAGGCTCACGTCCACGCCGGTGTCACCGCATCACAAGCCCGCCTGGTCTGCGTCCGCCGCCCCGTCGCGGCGCGCGCCGCCAAGCACGACGAGCAGCCGCCCTCTGCCGCTGTGCCCCGCCGTGCCGCACTGGTGGCTATCGCGGCAGCGCCAGCCGCGGGCCTGGTGCGCGTGCCTCTCGCGGCCGCCGAGGCGGCGTGCACCGACCTGGTGAGCTCAAGCCGGGGCCCCGCGAAAACTCAGGATCCTACATCGCATACGGTGACCGCTCTGAGCAGCTCTAGCGGTTTTGGGGCGAGCGACGAGGCAGAACGACAGCGCCGGCACGCAGATGTTTGAAGGGAGTCCTATCCTTGCTGCAGGCCTCCCAGCGCCAACAAGCCGCGGCCGCTCCGCGCCGCGCCGCGCCGCGCCGCGCCGCACGCACGCAGATCGACACCCCATCAGGCCTCAAGTACTGCGAGGTATGACAGTGGGGCCCCGCCCCGCCCCGCCTCGCCGATGCGCCTCCACCATGAATTCGCATCAACATTTTCGATACTCCCCGGGCCCCATCCCCCCCAGCATCGCACGCGCACCCCCCACAGATCCCGCCGCCCGCCGTTTGAATGCTCGTTCAAATTCTCAGATCGCCGAGGGCACCGGCAAGGAGCCCGTGAAAGGCGCCCTGATCCGCGCCCACTACACCGGCCGCCTGGCTTCCAATGGGAAGGTGTTTGACTCATCATACACCCGCGGCCGCCCCCTCACCTTCAAGGTGAGTCACCCGCACATCATGCCGCGTCCTGGCCTCTAGACTAACGTCGGCTGACAGCGTGGGGGCTGTGTGCGTATTTGCGTGTGTGTGTGTTTGTGTGTGTGTGTTTTGTTCTTGTGTGTATGTGTGTTTGCGCCTGCGTGTGCGCGCGCACGCGTGTGTGTGTGTGTGTGTGTGTGTGTGTGTGTGTGTGTGTGTGTGCATGTGCAAGCCTCCCCGCATGTTCATAGGCAAGCTAGGACCACCGTCCAAGTGATGAGCGAGCAATGCACGTCCCCGTTCGCGGCACGTCTCCCCTGCCTGCTCACAAATCGCCACGTCACCTCACCGTTGAGTGCTTGCATCGCGCAGCAGACAAACTCCAATCCCCTCCTCCCCTTCCAAGGCACACACACATGCGCACGCCTCCATCCTCCCACTTCCCAAACCCCCCTCCTGCCCCTCCACCTGCCGTTAATGCCAATGCACCCCCCCCCTGGTCCCTCCAAGGTCGGTGCTCGTGAGGTCATCCGGTGAGTCATGGGCCCGGCAACACCCGCACCCACACCTCCCGCCCGTGCACCCGCACGGACGCGCGGGCCCCCAACGGCCGCGGACCCGAACAACCAGCAGCGCCTGGCCCCGCCGCGGCGGCTACTTTTGCCTAAGAGCGCGAAAAGAGCATGTGCGAACCCCGTTGTCATGCGAACGCTGGGCTTTCTGACACGCCGCCCTGGCCCTGCCCACCTCTGTCGGCCCCTGTTCACTCCCGGTTGAGCCCCATGCCTTTGGCACCTTGGCCCCGCTGCCTTCACATACCATTCTCTCACCCCAATCCTTCTCGTCCATTCCGCGCCCTCCCTCACCGCCCGGTGCATCATCGCCTGCCCTCCACCCCCGGGCTCCCCAGAATTTGCTGTCCTCAACATTTTCCTCCTCATCAGGCATCGATATCATCCGCTCTTCATTGATGTACTCCTCATCACGCGCCCCTCACTATATATCTACACACCACATCATCACCGGCTTGCCCTCTACCACATGCCTGCCATCCCACCTCTTCCTTTTCCCCCATCACTCCCTGTCAATGCCATCATCCTTCCCCAACATAATCGTTGCAGCATCCCTCCCCAACATAACCCCCAGGGGCTGGGACCTGGGCATCTTGGGGGACGAGGGCATACCCCCCATGAAGGAGGGCGGCAAGCGGCTCCTCGTCATCCCCTCGGGTGCGGCGCGTGGGGCACGACGCCGCAAATGACTGTCCGAGTGCGCGCGCCGCAGGGGACGGCGGGGCGCTGTTCGGGCAACCCGCGCGCATCACTGAGCCAGCCCCGGTCTAGTCGGCCAGCCTCTGTGCGCGTTCGTATGGGCCGCCCACCGTCATGCACTACGCGGCGCTCGCGGCCTGGGGGAGCGGCGGGAGTGGTGATTGACTGCAAATCAGCAGTGCGTTTGACTTGCTTGCCTCTGTCACGTCTCATCAAACCCCCGCAGCCGGCTACGCACTAACACCTGGTTACCTGAAACGCCCACTATTCCTTGATCTCCCTCCAATTCCCCACATTTATTGTTCCACCCCCCTCCCCCCCAAAACACGCCGTCAAAACCCAAGACGCGCCCCCATTCGCCACCTAGCCCACCCCAGTACCACCCAAACGCCACCTCTGTCCGCCCCAACTTCCCCAACCCAAAACCACTTGCAACTAACCCCCAAACCACCCCTAATTTCCGTCGTCAACCCGAGCCCGCGCTCAAAACCGCTCAACACCGCCCATAACCGCCCATAATTGCCCAAACCTGCCTTAAACTGCCTGCACTCGCAGACCTGGCCTACGGGGACCGCGGCGCCGGCGGCGTCATCCCTGGCGGCGCAACCCTCGAGTTCGAGGTCGAGCTGCTCGGCCGCCGCTGACTCAGCGCTGACACAGCACAAGCACGGACGCGCCGGTGGTGCATGACTCAACGACGCGACGCCAGGCCGTTGGCGCACCCACGGGCGCCGGAGCGCCGAGCCCCGGAGATGTTCCGTTCAGGATGCAGCGGGCGGGACACCACTTGCGCCGGCGGGCCGCGCCCTGCGATCATGCCTGCCCATCTGATGCCGGCAAACGCTGACTTGGCGTGCCGCGACCAGCGGGGCTTCCACAGATGCACGTGCTTCCACTCACTGATAAGAGGGCACCTACGCACTCTCGCAACTTTTGGTTTAAAACAGCGTGCCCCATGTGGAAACAGATTTGATCAGGTCTTGTCTGCCCGGTAAAAACAGAAGCCTTTCATTACAGCACGCCCTGCAAACCAGCATGCGGCAGGGAGCCGCCAATTGATCCCTGAAGTATCTGGCCAGGCAGCCACATGCGCCGGTCGGCGGCGGTCGGCGGCATCGGCAGCGAGCCGGGGCTGGGCGCGGGGCACAATCCAATCTCCCCAAAGGGTCGAGCCATCGAGGCCTGAATCTCTGTGCAGCGGATAATGGTGGAAAAATGGGCTAGCAGAGGGATGACAAAAATGGGCTAGGAGAGGATGGTGCGTTGCTTCTTGCATACACCAGATCTTCAAATGAATGCGGCCCTCCGGCGTGCCGCTGATCAAGTGCAAAAGCGGGGCACCCAGTGTTGAACGCACTGGGCGGGGGGCGGGGAGGCGCGGCCGCCACGCCTCGCAACTGGCCCTGTGTGTGGTGCTTGCGTTGCAAGTTGCGTTGGGAGTGGAGAGCAGATAGGCTGCATGAGCCTGCAAGCAGCAGGCCGTAAAGAGCTCACCGGCCACGGTTATCATGATTGAAGCGGCGTATGCGCATGACACATGATGTATGTGAGCGGGTGCATGATTGCGTGCAGGCTCACGTGAGCGAGCAGGCGCGTGCGTTTGGGTGGGGTGGCAGGGCTTGCTCGCTGCCTGGTAGTGCGACGCTCGTAATGAGAGCCACCGTCATAAAAGGTGGGGTAGGGACAGGGGGCGGGTGCAACGCGCGCTCGCGTGTCGAAGCGCATGGGCGGAAAGTCCTGAGCAGGCTGCCATACACATGAGATTCACAGAGCACAAGATGGAAGGCGGCGCCCCTCACGCTCGAGCTGTCAACAAGGGGAGCCTCAACGGCGTGCTGCTGGTTGTCAGTGCGTGATGCAGGGGTGGCCTGGCCAGCACCCAAATCAGTTGATGCGTGAGCGCGGCGGCTGCATGGCCACGCGGCCCGCAAACCCAGTGGCAGTTCGGCAGGCACATGCGCGCCTGTGCGAGCAGACAGGCGAGTGCACGGTGCTGCAAGCTGATGTCAGCGCGGGTTCAAGAGAAGGGGCGGGGTACAAGCCTGGCTTGGGCAATGCCGCTACACGCACGCGGGTGCGTTGTGCAGGCCGCGCAGTGACGCCGTGACGTATGCAGGCGGCGAGTTCAGGAAGGCATCACCACAGTTTGAGTGAGATGCAGGCCGTTGTATGGGTGTCGGTTTCAGGCAGGTCAGTGCCACGTATATTGCACCGACTCCCTGTTTTCTGACGTGGAGGGTAGTGGAGGCGCCTCCAATTCTGCCCTTTTTCAGCACCTGAGCGCCACAGCCTGCGCCACCGCCGGCGGCGGCCCGATAAGCACGGCCGCCGACCGCCGGCCCGTCGCTGCGGCGGCCGCCACGCCCGCCGTCGCCGCCGCCGCCGCCGCCGCCGCCGCCGCGTCACGCTGCTGCTGGCGCTTCATGTGCTGCCGCTTCCGCGCCTCGGCCTCCCGGCGCTCTGCCTGCAACGACCTGTAGTCGGCAACGTTCAGGGGTCCCATGATATCGCGCACGTCAGGCGCGGATGCCAGCTGCAGCAGGCGCGGCAGGATGGACAGGAGTTCCTGGGGTTGAGGGGGGGGGGAGTGAAGCAGGGGTGGCGTGCCTTGTCGGCAAGCGCATCAGCGTGCAGGGCCGTCAGGTGTGTGTGTGTGTGTGA